TATAATTCAAAGTTCAAAGAGAAATCCATTAAGCTTTGTTTCATGTCTCTAATTAAAATCATAATACTTGTTGGAAAACTTTCCGGCTAATTCTTCAATCTTCTGCAAATGTGGTAGTGAGAATTTGAGAATATTTGGTTTTACATAGACAAACAATCAAATGAGATTTACGTGTGTAATAAAATGTGATGAGCTAAAGAGTAAATTTGTTCACAAGGTGGCTAAATTATTTCAATCTTTCTGATCTTGAAAATTCGTCTTATTTTCAAAGAAAACTTTCAAGTTGGGATGCAAGATCAAAGATAATATTACATAAGCTTTTTATCTGTAGTTAATGACTATCGTGTGTTGATAGAGTCATATATATACACTCTCATCACTCATTGCACAAATCACACACACGTGATTCACAATGTATTGAGACACTTAATTGGATGGCATTTGTAACCTTTATTTTGAACATAGGGGCCCGAACATTCTATAATGACGAGGGAAATTCCTACCTCTATGTTATGGGACGTGATTTTTTGCAGTTGAAGGGGGATAGAGTATTAAAACAAGGTGCAGCAAGTTGCATATAGGGGCAAAAAAATGATCGCCAACTCAAAGCATAAAGCATACAAAAGGAAAAGGGGTATATTCTTCAGAATTGGAGCAGCGAAAGCTGGACGGAGGATACCATAAGGCCGTACAATATTTACGAGGGAAATTTCAACCGCCATGTTATGGTACGTGATTTTGTGCAGTTGAAGGGGATAGAAAATTAAAACAAGGTGCAGCAAATCGCATATAAGGGCGAAAGTGAGAAAGAGAAATTCAAGCAAGGGGTTGAAGTTATAATCCTGTTGGACAATGGAAGGACGAGGTTCTCATCGCTGGATGGTCTGTGTGAAAGTTGGGGTTAACATATTCGCGGGGTTTGATTTCCAAGATTTTCTTGGGGGCTTAGCGCGGCAAGGACTTCTCAATAAGCTTTCAAACTCACCGTACATTGAGTGTATTTAAAGGTACATATGTTGCTTATTCTGAATCTCATACGGATCCTGGCTTTGTGACAAAAGCTCAAAATTGCGAAGTAAGCATATTGGACATAGATAACACTGATCATCTACTTGTAAACTCTCGTCTGTTGTTCGGTGAAGAGAAGGTGAGAGCCACACCTGGTCATACTGCGAGGTGTCTAACATATGTGTCTCGACAAGGCGCTGATCAGATATCTTCACGACTAGCATTCACCCGGGACGCTTTTCTTATCAGGGGCTGTGGACGTACTAATTTCCAAGTAAGCTTTCAAACATGACTATATAATTCGATGATCGGGAATTTGGTTCTGTCTAAATAGTGAGATTGACTCGCTATGAACTATCTTACTTCTTTTGAGGCCAATGTTAATCATCGTTTCTTAGTCTGACATTCATACGACAAGTTCTTTGAGAATGTTTTACTTGAATATTCAACGATGTTATTCAAGAAAAGATCGTTTCCACTGTATTAATAGTTCTTATACGGTCATTTCATTCATGTTATAAGCTTTCAAACTCACCATACGTTGAGTGTATATGGAGGTACATATGTTGCTTATTTTGAATCTCATACGTGTCTTGGCTTTGTGAAAACAACTCAAAATTGCAAAGTAAGCATATTGGACATAGATAATAGTGATCATCTAATTATAAACTCTCGTTGGTTGTCCGGTGAAGAGCAGGTCAGAGCCACACCTGGTCACACTGCAGGATGTGTAACATATGTGTCTCGACAAGGCCCTGATTAGATATCTCCACGACTAGCATTCACTGGGGACGCTCTACTTATCTTGGGCTGTGGACGTACTAATTTCCAAGTAAGCTTTTAAACAGCACTATATAATTAGATGATCAGGGATTTGCTTTTGTCTAAATAGTGGGATTGACTCTCTATGAACTATCTTCCTTCTTTTTAAGGCCAATGTTAATCATCGTTTCTTAGTTTGACGTTCATACAATAAGTTCTTTAAGGATGTCTTACTTAAATATTCAACGATGTTGTTCAAGAGAAGATTGTTTCCACTGTATTAATAGTTCTTTTACGGTCAATTCATTCATGTTATAAGCTTGCAAAGTCACTGTACGTAGACTAATGCTTTTAACTATTCTACTAATTCTTCCGGAGAGCAATGCTCTCTCAGGAGTATTAATATCTAATAAGATTTTCATGAATGGATACTAGGGAGGAGATCTAGCTCAACTGTACAACTAGCTCAGGGACAGCTTAAATTTGCAGGGAGCGATTGAATTGTGGATCGATTTGAGGAGTTCAGAAGCTTTGAAAGATACAAGCATGCATTGACCTGAATTGAAGTACTGTTTCTTGTACTAAATGCTTGTCTTTGATGTTGAGCTCAGAAGTACATTTCTTATGCACCAAGCATAAAAACTAATTGTGGCACTTGCGCTGCTCAAGAAATTGGACAAAGCTTACCTCGTGGACAGTCAACCCAGAAACCTACGGCTACCTGTGTCTGTCCATCTTGATTTGTAATCAAGATGACTGATGTGAATATTGTCAACGAGATTATTAGTAGCGTTGATGAATTTGATGGAGATCATGAAGAGGAAATTAATACCTGTGCAGAATTGATCCTGGTGGAGACCTTGAGTAACTCTAAGCGCAAACTTTCAAAGCGAAACTTTCCTTGGATGTATATTCATGAATGGCAATCTGGGGATCCCTCAAAGGAGAAGATGAAACGCCAATGTACCTTGTGTAAAAGATGGTATTCCTCAAAAACCAATGCGTCAGGTTGGAAATCCCATTTGCAATCAGCACATGGGTTGAAAGAAAATGAAGTAGCTTGCTCCCAACTGTCTCTCAAGTACTTGATCTTGTTCACAATTGACAAGCCTACTTTTTCGGAACAAATGCTTCGTAAGTATGAAAGCGCTGTAGTAGATTACATCATTGGCGGTGGTGTATCTCTACGTGCCTCTAGAAGTGATCGATTCAAAAAAATGGTCTTCACACTCACTAATGGATATGAGCCTTCGTCATCACGAACAATTCCGAGGCGAATTACAAAACTATACCGTATCTTGTTGCCCATGCTAGGATTGTTCTTCAGAAAATTAGATGTTGCATTTTCTCTAACTATGTACGTATGATCAAATCAAAATCTGAAGGGCTTCTACGTGGTGATTGCACATTGGGTTGACATCGAAACGCTCACACTGAAAAGTATTTTACTTACCATCTTGGATGTAGAATGTGGTATCAGCGTTGATCGACGTGTTGGAACTGCTCTTTTTGAACATTTGAAGGGTATGGGCACCGTAGTACTTACACGGTTGTTGAACGTGATCAGCGACAATGGTACTGACGCTATCGCTGTAGTTAGACGTCTGTTTTAACTGATCAATGCATCAGTTGGCTTTGAGCAGATGTCTAATTTTAACCATGTGCGTTTTGCTGATCATTCGATTCAACTTGCTCTTATCAAAGTACTTAGTTTCACAAAAAATTCAATGGATGCGTTGCGCGATGCGCTTGTTAAGATTCGTCGCAACAAGGTGATGCGACAACAATATCGCTTGGAGGCTGCGGCTGCCGGCTTCAGTAGCAAGGAGCCAACACATCAGGATACTCCAACACGGTGGAATTCCACATATCAGATGGGTGTCGATGCTTTTGAGAAACGAGCTGTCATTGACGGTATCATGGAGCAATTTGCCATTCACATCGATCGTACTCCTCTCTGTGATGACCAATGGCAAATGATCAACAATGTGGTTACTTTTCTGCGCGCGCTATGCCAGGTCATGCAAAACCTTGCTGCAGATCACAGACCGACGTTTGACTTGTTGCCGCTATCCATTGCTCATCTTATGAAGCATTGCAAAACGAGTGAGTTACAACTATTAGCGATCAATTCAAGAATTACGGTAACCGGAATGCGAGAAAAGATTGAAGAATATGAAAAGTTGTTAATGCTAGAATCCACCATAGTTGCAGCCTACCTCAATCCACAAATAGCAAAACCATCGGATCATGTGGAACTAAAAAAGTTGACAAATCTCATTCGATCTACTCTTCAGCGTCGCTATTCGGCTGAATTGCAGTTTTGCAATTCAACTGTTGAGTCCGAAGATCCGACCAGTGCGTTTTTTCAAGCCCTATTCCAGCTAGAGAGCGATAGCAGCATGCTCAATGAGGTAGACCAATTCTTATCCATTGGCGTCGTCTAGTGTAAGGGTTTTATCGACATCTTGTCTTGGTGGTCAGCCCGCATGGAAATCTTGACTGCACATTATAAGATGGCCATGGATTATCTTGGGACGCCGGCGACGTCGACACCATTTGAGCTTGTCAACAGCGTTGCTGGTCGCGAGTTTACCAACTCTCGACAATCCCTATTGTCATTGGTGTTCATCATGACCATGTGCTTACGTTCATGGATGGATGTAGAGATACTCAAAGTGCCGGCAAACCGAGCAATAGCAGCAACAATTGGATTCATTGATAAAGACAACCCAACCGATGAGATTGAAAATGTCGTCAATCAATTGGAGATTGAACAAGACGTATTTGATGACGGCGCAGTGCATATGCTTAATAGCCAATTTGAAGAATTAGTTTTTGAATCCAACTTGAACTAAAAGTGTTTGGAATAGATATTTTACATTTTATTTGTGTAGTTACCAACTTAACTTGTATATAAAAGTGAAATATACTTTATATTGACATTGAGTAACTATCTAGTTAACGTAATTACAAAGTGAATGGAATGAAAAGAAATGAAAACAAAGTGTATTTTTTATTTTTACCTCATAATTACCCAATTAGAGTGTAAATAGTTAAAGTGTATTTTTTATTTTCACTGAATAATTATTCGGGTAAACGTAAAAGTAACACGCGAATAACCTGGTAAGGGTAAACGTACAGTGCATTTTATCAGACGTTTAACTTTTACGTTACCTTGCGGAGGCCTAGATGCAGTGAGATTGTAGAACTGCAGATGCGCATTCATTCTTGTTCGATCGATAGATCTGCGATGTCATAAGCTGATCTCTGTGAATCCGAATGTATGTACTTTTTTCGAGATTGGTGTGTGAAAAGACCAGGAATTGTGGTCACGAATTGTAGTGAAACGACTGTGCTTCGTACGCATAATGAAGATTACCTCTTGAATCACACATGTTCAGGACATCATCTGGATGCGTGATTTGCCTTATTTGGACTCACCTTGCGAGTAGCTTCACTGTAGAGTGGTCTGGGTAAAGAATAGTTTCTGCAAACTTTTGTGTCGTTGAGATTTAGAATCTTGTTCACCGGAGGTGTAAGCTTTGTCTACCACAGGAGAGTGACGAGCAAGTTTCAAACGTTCGCAACCATGTCCTCTGAAATCAACGAATCAGCTGCAAAGAATCCGGGGCTATGTGAATCCCCTGATGAAGCAACCAAAGGATATTTCATTCAGCAAACTGTGAGTTCTTCTACATTTGACGGTTCATGTCCAGCTTAAGCAATTCGTGGTCTGCTTCGAAGTTTTCCAGGCACTGCTTTTGCTAACTTGATTTTATAGTACGCTGTTTGCTAGCATTCATCAGCTTGATGGGACTAACGGAGAATGTTATTACACATGCTTGTAGATGTACCGAATTAAAGACCCCAAAGTAAGCTTAGATTTCTACACCCGCATATTGGGAATGACGTAAGATTCTTCCCGTGCCTACCGATGTCTTGATACAACACAGAGTCTAATTTTCGACCTTTTTAAGTGGGTTCCGCTATCACCGAGTAATATTTACTGTATTTTCCTCTCAGTGCTTGAAAGCTTGAGACTTTGTATTAGGGATTGACTGCGACATTATGATCCATGATTTTCGGAAGTTGGTGCATTTTCACAGGAAGATTCAATCTACTAGTACAGATTAGGCTCGAGGTATTAATATCTCATAAACTATCCGCAGGCTCCTAAAGAGGTTGGACTTTCCAGAAATGAAGTTCAGTTTATATTTCGTGGGATACGAGGTACAGCGTTTTCTTTGGATTTGAGGGCAGAGAGCTCTATTTCTTACTTACAATGGTACCACGCTTTGCTCTTTAAACAAAAACCAAGATAATCAACTCCTCTCAGATGTATATTTCTATTACATCATCCGTCTGATTTTTGTTCTTATGTATCTGCAGGATCCCGCTAGTATACCCACCGATCCTGCTGAGCGGATGGCTTACACTTTTGTTCTTGAGCTTACACAGTAAGAAATGCTGCCTTAGCAAAGATTGAATGAAGCTAGATGATCTTGTCCATTTATTGGAGACTTATAGGCGTGAATGTCCTTTTGTTGTGTATGATAGCATATCCGTACACAAATATGTGGTCTCTACAGGTTCTTCTTCTGTTGGATCAATGTGCTCTTATTGGATTGTTACTTCTCAAATTTGCTGGGTTTCTTTCCAACCTTACGTTAAATCCACTTCCAAGTGACGATTTTTCAGACCATGGACTCATGACGCTACAGCCACAGAACTCGAACTTTTTAACAGACGGGACCATAGGACCGAACCTTAGCTTCTATAGAACCTTAGTTTAGAAACATCATTGAGATTAATAGAGTGTCTTTATCCGGAGTGCACACTGACCCTAAGTATCGGCCAGCATGAAAGGTCAGAAGTCAGTGAAGAAGTCACACCATAGATTGGAATAATATGGGTTACAGTAAGATAGGTATGCAGTCGATCAGTCCTGATGAATAAGAACACGCCTTCAGATAGCCTTCTCTAACTCTGTGTCGTGACTCTTCCTAGTCAGTACAGTTTCAAGTTTGCGTGAGTACAGCTTCTACTTAAGCAGAGTTGCATTTGGTGTCTAGTCGTATCTTGACAAACTAGCATTTTCACAGAGGAACTCTATGTATAGCTCTCTTTTTTCACTAAGATCGTTGATGGAAACAAATTTTTACTGCATATTGCATATATATTTCCAGAATTGTCTTGTATACAGTGGCATTTTTATATATGTCTAGAATTACCAGCAAAAAATAACTGTGCAACATAACCTACCAGCTGAGTAAAGTTTTACAACAACCTTTTAGCTCTTGACAGTTTACCCTATCGCTCCTCGCGTCAAAGGGACGTTGTAGATGGCTGTCTTGCTTGAGTTCAATATCTTCCGTAATATTGGCGAGAAGCTGGAACTATGCAATGTTAACCTGACAACTTTGACTAGATTTTATGGTTCCATAGTACTCCGACGGCTGAACTTGATCGTCGATGTCATATCAGTGTCTTAACTTTGAGAGTTGAATATGTTATGTTTCTGTATATGAAGCTTTTATCCAGTCAGACAATGTGCACAGAAACAAACTATGGAATCACCATACAAGTTTCGTAATTTAGTCGATTATTCAAGTACGAGCTTAAGTTGTTGCTTGCCTTGTTTGCAGCAACTGGGGCACTGAATCAGACGAGAATTTCAAAGGACATCACAATGGCAATAGCGAGCCTCGTGGCTACGGTAAGTGTGAGGAGATTGTTCTTCTCACTATTCTGTCACTTTCACCTATAACAAATCCCCATTATGACCACTCTTCATTCTAAAGGGCACCATTCAATCGTGATGACCTTAACATTTGTTCTTGTCCTACTGTAGTATGTCATCCTCTTACAGACCCTCAATTGGAGGATTATGGTTTACCATTCCTTATAGACCCCAGGCGAGGACTGTAAGGCTTAGTTTGGCTCGACCTGGCGGTTTACACATTTGCACCACGCTCAGATTTCCTGCTCACCATGTGTTCTCCTTCCGCAGATATTACCTTGCTCTGTGTTTCATTTTAAAAAGAATCATCTGTTTTTTATTGGCACCTGAAGCTGACATCTTCAACAAAGTCACTGAAGCTCTGTTAAGGGGTATGTTTTTGGCACAAATGTGTCGGTCTATGTTTGAAAGACATGTATTTCATGTGTGGTTCAGGGCATATTGGGATTACTGTCGATGACACCTACAAGGCATGTGAAAGGTTCGAAAAGATGGGCGTGAAGTTTGTTAAGAAGCCCGATGATGGTACGTGCTGAGATTGATTTTCCTAGGATAAACGGTTTGATTGAAGGTTTCCCACAAGAGAAACTTAGTACTTTGTCTAGTTTTTAATTTTGCTGTGGAGTTGCCGTCTGGTGGCTAGCTTCATAGTATGTCTTGGAAAGGAGTTCTGGATTTACATGTTGGATTGAGTTCAAATAGCAGACATGAAAACTGGACAGAGTGAGGTGTTAGAGGTCGAACATCTGAATGAAATTGATGGAGATTCGGTGAGATTCTTGTTAGTGGAAATCGTGTTGAACTCAAATGGGAAAGTAAAGGTTTTCGTTCCGAGTGGATGCTGCAGGAAAAATGAAAGGAGTGGCTTTTATCCAAGACCCAGATGGTTACTGGATTGAAATTTTTGACCTCAAGTTAATGAAGTCGTCTTTTTCCTGATAGGTAAGCAAGTTGGTCGGTTTTGAGCTTTTCTGTTGTACACTTGTGTGAAGATGACACTTCTTCTTACGTGCATCCAATTAGTACGGCTTACCACCAAGCTGGCACGAGTTTACATCAGAAGCAATCAGCTAGATGCCTTGCTCGCTGTCAAACCCACTCCGTTAGGAATAGTTGGCTCGCCTGATTTTCTTATCTCGGCATTGCAGATGCATGACATGATCCAGCACTGAATGTGTGGCCGCAGATCGGGACAGGATGTTATTCAAATATCGTGCAGTCATGCATCGAACCCTGAATACTCGAGTTTAATTGTCTGCGTACTGTCTGGTCTACTTTTTTTGCGTTGTGGAACTATAAATAGATGGTAGAAAATTAGTTGTTCCAGTAAACCAGCTAATGTGTGGTAACTATGGGTTTGTATGTATAATTGCGGTATTATACCCGTGGTATTATACCACTGTATTATACAGCACTCTCAAACCATACCTTGTATAATTGTATAATGAAAGTCTCAAACCATACCTTGTATAATTGTATAATAAAAAGTCTGACACGAGTCCGAATGAGACCGTTGCGGAGGCCAAATGAGTCTGACTTGCAAACCATGGTGTTAAGAATTCAGAGAATTTGAGGGTTTATGGTTGCTACAAGGTGTGTGATTTGAAATTTCAGATATCAGATTTGTCATTGTTTATTCAAAATTGGGAAGCTAAAAGATGCTATTTGGGAGAAATTTGGAGCTTGTTATAGAGTGATGCGAGGTCAATGTACTCCAAGTGTTCCTCTTGCAACGCACTAGTGGATAGCATCCGCGATCACTATGCTGGTTGCAAAAAACGGCCGCGGTCAATAGGCCAGCTGGAAGCTGGGATCCAGCCATCTCGAAAGAAGATGGCAACATTGAAAGTTAGTTCATCGGCCCCAGTAGCAACTAGAGCAAGTCAGTGTCCCCAAATGATTTTGAGTACGTTTTCTTCTCCAGCGGTTGGAAGCATTTTGATATCTTGAAGATGGACGAACAACAGAAGCCCGATATACACACGTGCTGTTCACCGCATGGCTATGCCATTTGCTGCATTTGAGCATCCAACATGGAAACTTTTCTTTGGAAACTTTTCTTTACATCACTTCGTGGTTGTTTTCAACTTACTTCTACGTAAGCTATTGGTGATCAATTGATACGAGATGAATACATATATGTAATGAACAATGTTCTTGCTCAGAACAAGATGCCGTTTATTTGCCTTATGTTGGATGATGCCACGAATGAGCAAGGCAAGTAGCTGATCAACCTGATGGCTTGTTCACCAATTGCAATATTCTTGGAACATTTTACAATGAAACTACATAGAGAAAGTGCGGTGATTTTGTTGGAGAAAGTTTTGGAATGTGAGCTGTGCCTTTTGGGAAATATTTGTAAGTCGGCTTCTGGTTTTGTCTTACTGAGAAATTTCGAAAGGATTGCAGATCTCAACAACTATGTTGAAATTGTAGAACAGCAGGGTGAAGAAGTGCTGCCCTGCACCAAGAATGAACACTTCGTTAATCCATCAATGTTCTGCTTCTGCAGCGATTCACCAAGCGTCATGGTTAAGCTGCGCAAGGAATGTCTTAAGTCTAACGAGTTCATGTTAACCTACGATTATGCACCCCATGCAATCCGTAACCTTTGCATGGATTTGTGCAGACATTTTCCAAGATTGAATTGGGTTTTATAACAGATTATGTTCATGATGAATGCTTTCAAGTCATGTCATCTTCTGCTAAAGTTGTTTGACAAGCTTTGCATTGAAAAATATCGGAAGACGTACGTGTTAATACTCTTTACGAAGATCCAATGGGGTACTATATACTACGCCGCTCAGCGTGCCAGAATTGTCAAATCGGCATGTGTATCGTTTCCAGGTAAAATTCTTTATGCCGATTATGACATTGATGTATCCCACAAATTGAAAGCTTTGGTTATAGATCAGTCTTATTGGAAGGGCATGTCTGCGATGGAAGCACTGTTTAAGACGATTTGTTCATGTTTAACATATTTGGAAGTAGATGAAGTTACATTTTCTGCTGTGTATGTTTGCTTTGTGACGATCAAGTTTCACGTAAAGACGTTGAATTCCACTGTCAGGAACGCATTGGATTTGACTGAACATGATATCGAATGGATTGTGACAATGATTCATCACCGCTTCTCGACACTTTACACGGAAGTCCATGCTCTGGCATTTGCTACTTATCCATTATTCATCCCTCTGCGCAATAGGATCACGGCGAAATTCAACCAAGAATTCTTGCAATTGGGGAAGACTTTAATTAACCAACAGTAGAAGGCTTGAATCAGCCGTCTTGCAAATGGCAACGACGACCTACGACGAAAACTCTTTAGCGAGTTCGCCACGTTTATTGTGCGCCTGATGGACAAAGATGATGATTTCAGCGACATCACCTTCAAGCCCTCTGAATTGTGGAACTTATCTGACGACCATTACTACGGTGTCATCAAATGTCGAATATTTGCATTGCACAAGAATCCGACAGGGTCAAGCGGGGGTGAACGCAATCACAAGGCGGCCAAACGCGTTCATAGTCCCTCACGAGCTCGGTTGAGCAAGTACAAGATAGAGACCGGGACAGTCATTCTGTTCAATTCGGAACAACTAAATCGTCAAATCACTTCAACAAAGAATACAAAGTTTTGCAATTTACTTCACCAACTATGCACTGATAGCGGATATGAATCTGAACATAAAGTGGACCCCGTAAAGACGAGGATGAAGAAGTTGGTGGTGGTAGCCTTGATGAATTTGATAACGTTAACATATCTCAGGGCATAGACGGATGAATGACAAAGATATCTTCGGGTTCGAGGAGTTAATGGACGAATGAGGTGTACTGTGATGGATCTTTTAGTGTTGTATAATTCATTTGGTATTCTATAGCGCAGTCCGCGAACAATCCTGTTACACAGACCCATGGTGGTAACATGTCCTGAAGAATGCAAGTTAAAATTTTCGATTTATGTGTTCCTTTCTTTAAAAACACACGTGTGCGCAAGTTTACAACATTTTGACCATTTCAAACTTAGCAAGACGCTGTAACCTGTCATTCTCTGTCATAGCCTTGATAAAGAAGCTTCCCTGCTGTACGGTCCCTCGATACTAACGCATCAGTGCTGGTGTCTGCGCAATTGAACATTGCTGAAGTGCCGGTGAGTGTAAGTTATGTCTTCATTGAAGAGACTCAGCGGAGCGGCAGCTTTAGCTTGCAGGATAATATAATATGCAGTCTGTTAAAAATGAAGTGCACAAGCTAGTACACCGAAAGTGATGATACTAGTCTATTGGTCATTGCAGCATATATATGCTCTAACGAAAAGAAGTTATGGATTTTAATCTATCATTGAAAAGCGTTATCCTTGTGGTAATTTTAATTTAGTTACATATTCGTAAAAATTCGTGTAAGAACACGTGAACGAAATTTTTCGATGGAAACACATGGGCGGGTTAAATTTCATCTGACAGATTGTGCTGTTGTAGAGACTGTAAACTTGGCAGGAAGCACCCTAAGACCTTCCACACCTTCCAAGTACTGTCGCGCTCATAAATTTTTGAAACTTTGAGTTCTCTGAACTGCAATGAAGAATTTTCATGTCAAATAAGAAAGAGTTCTTTATTTGGTGACACTATTCTTCATGAAAAAGCCAAACAGATTTTCGATCAATGGAATTGTAGGCTGGTGATGTTTTTGCATCAGAAGCTTGGCTACAAAAGTTGGAAGCAGCGGAATAAAATGTGTTCGTACAAGATATGTGGAGAGTTAAAAAACGTGGATCTTGACAGGGCTAAACAATGGAAGTCGACTTTAGGAACAATTTTGGCACAATATGGTCGGAAAGACGAGTTCAACATGGATGAGACCAGATTTTTCTTTCGTGCTTTTCCAGATTCAACATTGAGTCATGTTGCTCAATCGTTTAAGGGACTGAAGTAACGAAAGTATCGAGTAGTGATTCTGACCTGTTATGCAATGGATGAAAAACTACCTTAGATAATCGGAAAATCAAAAGGTCATTGTTGTTTTTGTGATGTGGACACGGAAAAGCTGAAGTTGAATTATCCAAACTGTGCAAAAGCTTGAATGATAAACCCAATATGTAATGCTTATCTGAAAGACTTGGACAAATATTTCAAAAAGAAAGGCTGCACAATGCTTCTCTTTTTGGAGAATGCGTCAATCCACATTCTAGATGAAGGTACCTATTTGTCAAATGTTGAACTTCAATCTATTTTTTTTTAGCCTAACGTGCATTTTGCAGTCACTCGATACTCGAATCATCTGAATCTGAAAGCATTCGACCCGAGGCACAGGTTAAAACTTAAAGTGGAGTCTCCTCCCCCTCGTGTCAAGGTCATGGTCCCAGAAGATTCAAAATAGCGATTCTTCTGTTCGAATACTCCTTAACATCAGCCTAGTATGAACGCTAATCGAAGGAAATGAAACCTCAATTGGGTTCGTACATTCCTTCATCTAGAATAGACACAGAATTAGAAACTCCTGTACACTTTGATTATCGGCTCCATCTCTTCAGGTGATTCAGGCCTGGAAGAGGTTAGTTCAATGTAAGATGAAATGAGACGCATTTGTACATTCCAAACTGGCTAAATTCGAAGTTTGAATACATTTTTCACGCCGTGTCTTCGTGGTTACTGACAAAAAGTGCAAACGCAAACCTTTGATTAGTGTTGTCAGAGGACCCCGAGTGCTGTGAGGGGACCTGAAGTGATAATCTCGTTGCATGCATGTTTGTCTTGAACTATAAAAGCCACGCCTTGGACTGATCCGGTGCACGCAGAATACTTGAAAAGGCAAAAGAAGTTTGAGAGTAGAGGAGTTTCAAAATAACTTCTTGTACCTCGATACACTGAATATGACATTTCAGTGTAGTACGGACCAAACCGCAAAACATTCGTGATTTCTGTACTTTGAGGCGTCCCTTCGATGTAATAATCTCAACTTGCTTTCTCGCTTCACATATCCTTTTAAACTCAACCATCGTTAGAAACTCACTGACTTGTTGAGAATTATTTCGTCTCGTAACTGTCCAAAGAGCTTGTTTAAATTTCTTCGTCCACTTTACTGCTTTTCATCCGAATACAGCACATGCACACGGAGATTTTCTTTAAGGATCAATTCCCATGTACCTTTTTTGGGAAAATACAAGAAAGTCGAAATCTCGGCATGGGCTATTGTATATCATTTCTGCAAGTGTAGAACTCCTCTCAGATCATAAACTGAACTGTCAATTGTGAAGTCATCCCCTCCCATGCACAACGAGCAGTTGCATCATCTATTGATCCACTTTTGACCCTTCATCACTTTCAGTGGCAGCTGAGATACCTCGTGAAGACTAGAATCAGTGTCGACTAGATTCGTGATTGTCCTACATGACTTTGTACATCAGAAGTCTTCGTAATTCCACGTACTTGCTTCCTGGAAGTTTAACAAACGTGCAAAAGTCCGGTTTATTTTCGATAGTCAAAGCACCTGACCTCCTGTTTCTTGCTTTCCATGATTGTTCAACGTAG